GTTTATTCCCCCTCCCTCTTCACCTTCTGACTCCCATTTCTGCTTCCTCACCAAGCAGGTAAGGAATTTGGGAATGAGGAATGGAGAAAGAAAAAGGAATCTCTGCTTGTTTTTCCAAATAGAAAAGTCGTGTACAGTAAATGCACGCTCCCTAGAAAAAGAGTTTTTCTTTAAAAAATCAAGTTGCCTACAGGTTCTTAAGACTGATATGTAAAAAAAAGTGTAAAACCTCTACAAACGTAAGAGGAAGAAAACCAATACACACGGTACAGCTTCCTCAAGTGGATTCACTACAGCTATGTATACGACATGTATGTTTTTACATATACATACATGTATGTGTGCGTATATTATCTGCAGACGCTGTGATTACAGCTGACGCCCCCAGGACAGGGAGCTGACAGCCAGCGGGTGCAAGACCTCCCCGTAGCTCCCTAACGGTTGGTCACAGCTAAGGGATGGAACGGTACCGCACAGCGCTGCCCTGGGCAGCTCTGCCCGTCCCGCCAGCCACGGAGGAAAGCTGCAGACCTGGGAACGGATGACGCAGCCCAGGCCAAGGATCGCCACGGTCTCGTGTCCTCCTTCCTGCAGCGACTAGCAGCAAATGCTTTGGGAAGAGCATTAGAAAGAGTGAGTGGGCGTCTCCTCCGCTGCCTTTTCCTCCTAACCATCAATAATGTAGGGACAAGAATAATTTAGGTTTCACTTTTTAATTATGTGATAAAATCTGCTTCTATCTTAAACCTGATGAGCTCAAGGAACATCCCAAATTACTGTGCTAAGAAACACATGGGATTCTTGGTCCTTGTTCACCATTAAAGTTCAGCTGCACCACAGCCTTACGAGTTTCACAGTAGTTTTGTTTCTGTTGCACTTCTAATAATTCCTGACATGATTTACTGCTCTGGACATCAGTTAACATTAAGTTAGTGTTCTGGGAGAATTATCCTTAATAATAAGCATGTTCTGTGAGGCTTCAGAGAGGGTGGAAGAGGGAAGAAAGGAATAGAGGAGAAAAAGAAAGAATGACAGGATCAGGCTCAGCTGTGCACACAGGCCAGGGAGCAGATGGACCTCTAACTTTCATTATGAGCAAGGTCAGGCTACATGAAAAGAAAAAGGAATCAAACTTAGAAGGTGGCCCTAAAGAAACAGGATAAGGAGGAATGGGAAACTCACCATGGAAGGTGCCTTCCTTCCAAAAAGCCTGGGTCATTGAGAATTCAAAGGATACATTTTTCCGATCCAATATTTACTGCTGTCGCAATCGATCCATCCTGTTCATCCTCACCAGTGACAGAATTAAGGAAATACGGACATCAGTCATGAGCTTGTGCCTTGTGCCTCTATACAGTCACACTTAACTCAAAACATGTCAAATAACAATTTTATCAAGCCACAAGGAAGAAGCTAAAAATTAACGCAGACAATCAAGGACAAGGCAAGCACAAAACCCCATGCTCAGCTCCCTCCTGCTGCTCAAGTGCCAGGTACAAATCCCTCTTATTCAACTTTGCTCTTCAAGGAAGAACTTGTTCTTCAGCACTACAAAGAGGTAACTTTAAACTCTGCCACTCTACACATACTCTCTCTAAAGAGGATCTTTTCCACGGGTTTCTCACCAGAAAGCAAGAGATAAATTCAATACATTAACTACCATACACGGTGTTACTGGGACGTGATTCACTTCTCTTCTGCAACACACCTGGATTGGGCAAACCTTATTCAGCCAAGCACGTGTTGGTGGGGAGTGTGGAAATGGAGGAGAAACATACTCAAAGGAGCATCTGCTCAGAGCACTCCACAAACTAGGAGCTTCCATGCTTTTTCCCATGGAAGTTATTCTGTCATGGAGAAGGAAGTTTCCTCGGTTCTCCTCATTACACACTGCAAAGCTGGAAAGGCATTGTTTTAGGAGATTTTTAATAAACATTGTCCTTCAAAGCACCGAGTCTTGACTGGGTCAGGAAAAGGATATTCCTCCTCATCTGTCACGTTGGCATACTGGGCCAGGAGGGCAGCTTTCCTTTGCTTCTCTTCCTGGGAGACCTTCTTTGGCTTCACCACAATCTTGGCCTGCTTCTCCATCATGCTGGCGATGGCTTGGATCTCATCTGGCAAGGAGAAGAGTCAGAGCATCAGTCAGTCTCTGCAGACGTGGCAGTGAAGTCCCAGCTGAGAGATGCCATGTGCTGCTACTTCCTACATCTGCAATCCCCAAAGGGCACCATCCCACTGTCACAGGCTGTGTCCCATCTGCAGGGAAGCAGCTGTCACTGGGGACAAGTGCACCAAGATAAAGGGAGAAGCCTCACCCAAAAATTTCCCCCCCCCTCCTCCCACGACCCTTCTGACAAGGTCACTAGTGGTGCTGTCAATGCACAGAGCGCAGCAGGCTAGACGTTTTTGGGAATTTAGCCTGAGGACCGAGGGAGCAGGAGCTGCTGAAGAGCCACCAATGAGGCCAGCCTGGCGTCTGAAGTGGTGATGCAACAGCAGCTTCTCCTTGCAAGGAGGAATTCCCCTGTACTGTGCGCAGCAATGATATGATGCTATTTTTCCTGGAGCAAGAGAAGTTTGACAATGGAACTTTGATATCAGTAAGACTCTAGCTAATGAAAATCCATTTTACTCCAAATTGCATTATCTTCTGGTTAAAGGAGGTTAAATTCATTTAACCACACACTTAAAACCCCATTAAATAGAAATTCTGAAAACCAAAAGTGACTGATCAGTTTAACACTCT